AAGAGAGGAAGAGGAAGAGGAAAGAAGAAGAAGAAGAAGAAGAAAGAAGAAGAAAGAAGGAAGGAAGAAGACGAAGGAAGACAACGAAGAAGAGGAAGAGGAAGAAGAAGAGAGGAAGAGGAAGAGGAAGAGGAAGAAGAGAAGAAAGAGGAAGAAGAAGACAAAGACAAAAGGGAGGAGGAGGAGGAGGAAGAGGAGGAAGAAGAAGAAGAACCAGTTTCCTTGTTAAGGTGGTAGAGAACTAGCAATTGTCCTTTTGGCAGGGGCTTTTGCAGCATTTTCCTGTTCCACCTAAGAATCAGTTGCAAGGGGTGGGCACGAACACTACTGTAACCTCGTTCATCGTGGGAAAGGGACTAGCTTGGCGCTCTTCACAAAGCATTGGACTGGCGCGGGGATTCCAAAGGAACCAGTGGATGACAAGGCTACATTTTCTTCGAAAACTTTGCTCCCCATCGTCCCCCCCCAACCCCCCCCTCTTTTCTTCTTTCTTTTTAAAAGGGCGACGGCCTTGGAATATCATCATTGAACTGACTGGCCCCAGGTAATTCAGAGTTATTTCCTTCTGCTCATCTGAGCAGACATTGCGATTCGGACTTGGGTCTGTGACTCAACGGTTCATGGGTTTACCAACTGGGGTAGGCCCGTCGGTCCCTGTCATCTAATATGGCTGATTGGAAAGTGGTGGGGCACCCGTCCACAAACGTGCACTCCCAGTCTCCTGTACGTCAGGATGCTGATGGAAGCACAGGTGTAGCAGGTACTCGAGCAGAAAGCGACACCTGTTTAATGCCTCTAGAACAATGATTTCATCAAAATGGACATTTTTTATTTTTTGAACGAAATTGAAACCGATTGAATTGGCCCGATTGAGACCTGAATTTGTAGCCTTTGAGGGTACGGAGTTCTTGAAACGACGTACCCCCTGGACTCCAGCTACGCCCAGATATATCCAGGGGATACGGCATTGTTAAAACGCCGTACCCTCTGCACTCCAGCTAAGTGCAGATGCATCCATGGGGTAGGGCGTTTTAAGAACGCTGTACCCTCAAAAGCTACAAATTTCGACCTTGCTCAGGCCAATTTAGTTGGTTTCAGTTTCGTTCAAAAAATAAAAAAATGGTAGGGAGATATCCCAGGCGCCCGGGTCCGACGTCACGCGCGGTTCGGTGACCGGGTCAGCGGCTGGGCATGACCCCTGGGCATGGGGCTGGGCAGCCCCAGTGCAACAAAAAAAATAAAAATATGTTGTGTAGAATTGCAATACAAACAACTTTTGACTGAGGGTTACGTCAGAATTGCTAATGGAATTAGATGTCTGTACAGAGTCTACAGACAAGCAAGCACGATGTTCAGGATCGCTGTACCCGGT